GCAGGATTCATCTTTGTTTGCATTTTACTTCGAAGTTACTTTTAAATCTTGTAAATTGTATATATTTCTTGAGTTTCATAATAACTCTGAGAAGTACTTGGTTTTGAGTATAATGTATAATTTGTTTTAATTGAGATTGATAGAATAAGTTGCTAAAAGAATTGTTAAATCATATTTATTCAAATACTTTAAATCTATTTTAAACAAGTTTGGGTACCTCAATTTCAAGTGGAGTGGAGAAGTATGGAATTGGGAGAAGAAGGATCTTTTCAGAAATTAGAAAATTGTTGTAATGGGGTACATATAAACCATATTTTAAACCATTAATCCACATAATTGATAAGGAACCTGAGTTATAGGAAGAAAATAAGACCCTTATAGGGACTATGTATGTATTAGTTTCTATAGGCCAAACATAGGTACTGTATCACTATTATTTTTTTAATCCTCTAGTGTATCCATTTGCTTAGGATTTACAATTGCAAGGAGTGTTAGGAATATTTCTTTGAGAGAGGAATAGCTTCAATTGCCAGTCATGACTAGAATTAGAGAAAACCCCAAACGATGAGTGGTAAGCTCCAGAGATGCAAAACTTCCTATATCCAGACTCCTAATTAAGACTATACCTACATATATATTTTACATATATGTATGGATGTACGTATGCATATTTGTGTTGTATAAAATATCTATACTAATAAAAGGGTAATATGCTAATTAGACCAGGTCAACTGGCCATCTTCCGGATGTCCGACTTCCTTCGGACAAAGCCATGGTGGTGGAGGCTGAGGTAGAGGCAGAGGCAGTTAGGGGCGATCAAGCCGGCAGGGGATGGCAGTTGGGCATGAAATTAGGCCAGCAGGGGAGGGCCTTTGGGGGTGAGATCAGGCCGGCAGGAGAGAGCAGTTGGGGGCGAGATCAGGCCAGCAGGGGAGGGCAGTTCGGGGCGATCAGGCAGGCAGGCAAGGTGAGCGGTTAGGAGCCAGTGGTCCCAGAATGCGAGAGGGATGTCCAACTGGAGAGGGTGCAGGCTGGGCTGAGGGGACGCCCCTGCCCGTCCCCCCATGCATGAATTTTGTGCACCAGGCCACTAGTGTTATATATTTATCTATCTATATAAAACAATGCAAATACAAACATTTTTTTTGTATTTAGAAATGGTTGTCTAATTTAATTTTTGTGAAGGTTCCCAGTAATAATTTTGTTAACAAAAGTTTCTCATATTTTTAAAATGCTGATCAATTCTACTTGTCAGTTAGTGGTAATCCATATCAAGTGTTCCCTTTATAAATCATCTAAAATTACCTTTGTTTTCAAGTATATACAGTTTATAATTCTTTAATAACAAAAAGTTCAGTAACTACCTACTCGTCTTAATGAAAAGAAATAGCTTCCTAATAAGTATGTGACATAGGTGTATCTTTGTAAAAAACAACAGTAATGATGATAGTGCTGATGGCATAATAATTCTACCTCACCTTAAGTTTTAATAATAATACAGAATTTTATGTTCAAAACAAATTATGTTCCTAAGGTGTTCTAAGAAAAATGTAACTTTACTAATATTTATTTTTTGATAGCTAGAATTTTCAACTTTACTATTTTCAATTTGTGCTTTTAGGCATTTTCTTATACATTGTGAATGAAAATAAGTAAAATTTGTATATGACAAATGAATTAACAGTTCTTTTTTCTTTTTTGTGAATTTACCTAAAATAGTAGAATGTAGCACCACCTTATGCCCTGTATAAGAATTACAAGCTATTTTTTATGTTGTCAAAAATTACATTATACATGGAATTTCTTACTCTATCATTCTAAATTTTTAAAAAAACTAAACCTTTTCCATTTTCCTCACACTACTCACTTTTAACTTAATCTATAACTCTTTCCAATTGATTTATTTGAATGAGCCAGCAAATTTGTCAGTACTTTTTTTCTTTCAATTCATCACATTTTAGTCTAGACCCCAGAGAAAAAGCTTTGTCTGATTGAAAGTCTGTTTGTTTTAAAGGAAATTTTGATAGAAAAAACTGGCAGATCTTAAGAATTTGAATGCTTCCTTTTAAACAGGAATTTAAATCCTCCTAGTAATGATATTTAGTATTCAAAATAATCTGATTATTACTTGAAGTTTTGGGTGATATAAATAATGTGACATTTGTCTTACTTCTATTTTATAATAGCTATTGTCCTAAAAATTTCCATGTAACCATGGATTATAGTATACAGGTTGGCTGTCTTTTCAAAGAAACTTATAAATTCCTTTCTACCTGTACTGTTTCTAGAACTGGAAGTTAGGAAAGACCTCTACTAAAAATGTTTAACTCGCTTCCCAGCTAAATTTTATAAAGGCTATTCCTGTCAGCTCATGCCACTGCCCCCAGAAGTACTATAGGAAAAAATTTTTCCATCTTTGAGTTTCTCAGATGCCACAAATTATGTTCACTACCAAGATACCTGGCAAGGTGCATTCTTCTTTAGTTTTATTTAAGCATTTTTTAAAAAATGGGGTGGGAGGTTACTATATCCATGATTACAAGACAAAGTTAAGAAATTTTTTCAGCTATTAAAATCTTATTTTTTAAATAAGAAAAGTAAATAATTTATGTTCACCTTAATGCTTTTACATATGGACAATTCTAATGATAATGCCTTATACTTTATTACAATAATTCATAAACATGAAGTTTCTTTAAATTCTAGCTTTTAACAAAATCATGGCAGATATTTAAGTGTGAAAAAGAACAGAATTTTGAGTATAGCTTGTAGTTTGGGGAGAAGTAAGGAGACTTGGGTTCCAGCTCTGATTTTG